GTCCCAGGAGGAACATAATCAGAGGCATCACCCTCAACCCTAGAGGCCACTGCCACCTGATCCCAGAGATTAGATGGAAGCCCAGAGACCTTATTTTGGTGGAGCAGTAGCCTCTTGCCAAGACTAAACTAGGGACCCTTCGCTCTCTGTTTCAGGAGCTGCTACAGTTGGGACATATATGTCCTTCCTGGAGACCTTGGAATACCCCTGTCTTTGTAATTAAAAAGGCTAATGGGACTTGGTGCATGCTACAGGATCTCAAAAAGTTAAATGACAGGATGGAAATAGTGGGTACCCTTTTGAGGTGCAAGTGAAACTGTGCCAGCCTTCAAATGTCTCAGCCTTGTAGAGGATTGATGCTGCCCAGACTTGGTTTATGCTACAAGTGGCGGGTAAGTCCATTGCTTTTATTTTAACTCGGGCCTTAAGTTTCCCTCACCAATTTCAGCTATGAGGATAGATGGGACCCATTCCTCCCCACTTAAAACTTTGCCACTGCCCTACCATCTTGCAGAACATTTTTTTTCTGTCACTCTTTCTTAGAGATACCAGCTTACCCAGCCCATTTACTAGGTGGAGATATCCTTAGCCACTTCCCCAAAGCTTTGTTCCGCTTCTTGGAGCCCCCTTTTAATCCCACCCATCTCGAAGATTCTATTTTACAGGTTCACTCCTCCTGCCAGATGTGTTCCCAGGCCGACCCACAAGGAGCTCTCCACATACACCAGCTTCATGAACGCCAACCAGGCAAAGATTGACAGGTTAATTTTACCCATATGCCTACTCATAAAAAACTCTGTTATCTCTTAACACTTGTGGACATTTTTACAGGATGGCTAGAAGCATTTCCAGTCTCCGGGGAAACAGCAGGTGTGATGGCTCAGGGTCATGGAGCTCTCAATATCTCCTGGACAATGGGACTCATCAAACAACAACTAAGCAAGCTCTCCATTGAACTCAGGTTATCTTGGCCCTCCCTTCTCCCCATTGCCCTGACTCATCTCAGGGCCATCCACCCCATGTTCCCCTATGGGCCTGAGCCCTTTTGAGTTGCTTTATGGCAGGCCCTTTCTCCTTAACCATCACCTCCCAGTTCAAACTCCTCCACTGGCAGGTACCCGCCCTACCTCTCCCTTTTAAGGTCCATTCTCCATTCACATGCTAACAGTTGTCTACCTGCCACCACACCAGTGGACCCTAATGCCCCTAAACCTGCCCTGCTCTCCCCAGGGGACAGAGTACTCCTCAAGCAGTTAACTCCTAGGTCTCTTGAGCCTTGATGGACAGGACCTCACACAGTAATCCTCACCACTCCCTTCTGCTGCCAAGCTCTTGGGACACCCATGCTGGTACCATCTCTCCAGGCCCAAGTAGGCACCTACTCAAGACACTTGGTCTGTCCAGCAGACAGGACCTTCCACCCTCCGGTTTTCCAGGATGCCACAATAAAGGGCCTACCTGCTCCTCATTCTGGCAATTCATGTTTAGCAATAACAATTTTTTTTTTCCTAGACACCTGCCTTCTCATCTCCCCCAAGGAACAGATGCCTGCCTTCTCCGGGATGACAGTTCATGGGATGCCTTTCCAGTCACACCTCTTGCTAAACGTAGACACCTGGCTCTCCTCTTTCCCCACATTGCCCCATGCCCGCAGGAAGTAGCCAGATTGCATCTATGTCCTTTTTTTCCCAAAGAGAGCCTAAGTGTTTGTCATAATTACCATCCCAATTTTCTGTCACCCCTATATCCAAAGAGTCTGGAATGTCATGTGAGAGTGTAGGTCCCAGCCCCTCACATTTATCCCAGCCCCCAGGCCTGACCCCAGGGTCAGGACCACTCCCCAGGGTATTTAAGTGATGCCCCAAAAGAGGAACAAGTGGTCCCCCTTTCTTCCTCCTGGGGGTCACATCATTCCCATGGCTGGCTTACTGGTTCCCCCTCGGTGCCACCCGAAAGTGCAGATCTCCCATTAAACCTGGATATTTCTTAATTTGGCTTGTTTTGATTCAGCTTGATTAGGAATTTTGCTTCAGCAAGGAGCTTGCATTAAGAAATATTCCTAACACTTTCCATTCAGAATGAGATTAAGGATCTCCCAGAAAAGCAGCTGCATGTTTTGGCAATCCATGGTTCTCCCAAGCTAAATATCAGAAACTGTTTACTCTGGGCAAGCTCTTATCTAGAGAAGCAGGATAAGCCCATTGCTTCCCAGAAGCTCCCAGATGCCAAGCCCCACTATTGGAAGGCCCAGCTCAAGCTCCACCTCCTCCAGGAATCTCCCCATTCCCTTCGCTGAACTCACTGTGCCTTCCCCAGAACCATAATTCTCCATGTTTCACACAAAGTCTAGCTTCCATCTACCTCTCACAGGTCTCCCCATGTTCTCCATTCTATCTCCCAAGCAGCCTTCCCAGTCTTGACAACATGTCTATGGGCACTGAAAGAATATCCCATTGTCACATGGTGTTCCCAGAACACTGGTGATGTCACAGGGAATGACAAGGGCTCTCCAGAATACAATAGAATGTCCAGACAAGGCAATCTTCTTGGTCACCAGCAGCAGCCCTCACCTACCTACTAACTATTGCTACTATTATAATACTACTTACTATTGCTCTTCTGCAATTCACTGGAAGCCATGCTGGCTTCCCCAGGACCCTTCCCAGAAACACAAGGGAAGACCTTCATCACCTCCTCATTACAAAGTCAGAGATATCTCTCTGCTTCGTTGGAATATACTCACTACTTCATGTATTGGAAGTAGAAGACTCACTTCCAAACACATCCCAGAAAGTGGCTCATTCCCTCTTGAGATATCTAACAACATGATTGCCTCATTGCTAGTCGTTTCTCCCTGAACTGAACAAAACTGAGGTTTCCCTTCTAGGAGTCTCACCTGTGACACAGGGGAAGCCATTCAGCATCTCCTCCTTCCAAAGATAGAGATTTCTCTCTAATTCATTAGAATATTTTCACTACTTCACCAATGGGGAGTTGAAGGCTCATGTTATAAACACTGCCCAAGAATGGCCCTTCCCCTCCTGAGCATTCATATCCAATAATATGAGAAATAAATCATGTCGAGAAATTAAGTTAGATTGATATGGAGGAGGCTGGAACAGAATTTTCCATAACAGTGTGTGTTGGGTCAAGCAGGAAAAGTCAGGTAACCTACTTGCTACAAAAGGCTGTGTGGCCTGGCTTTCTAGAACAAGATTCTTAGGAGTTTTAGATGGATCCAGTGCACTAGGATTGGCAGCACCTAAAGAATAGTTTCTGAATTGTGTACACTGTCTTAAACAGGGGGAGACAGGTCCTCCGTTTATTGTAGGAGGCCTATAGGTTGTGTTTCTTGTGCACTAAATCCTGGTGGTATAGTTATGTCACCTTACTTGTTGTAGGAGGATGTATGAGATAGAATCCTGGAACTGGATTCCTGGAAGCTGTAGGTGGCCTTGGTTCTTGAGACTATGAATAATGCCTGGAGTATTTCCCAGGTAGTAGAGGTGGGACTCAGCAGGAGTATTTATGATTATAAACCTTTATTTTAAAACTGATTATAAACCTTTTATTTTGAAACTGATTTAAATGTTTTGCACTTAAAAATTACATTCTCTCTCTCTCTCTCTCTCTGTGTGTGTGTGTGTGTGTGTGTGTGTTTACATGCTAGGGAGAGAGAACACATTGTGTTAGGGTTTATGCATGTAGATCTAAGAAAAATTTCAGGAGTTGGTTATTTCTTTGTACCAAAAATCTGGGGATTCAATTCTGCTTGTCATTCTTAAATACAAGTTTTTTTTTTTTTACTTGTTATACTATCTTGCTGTTTAGAGAACTTCTTTTGATGCAGCCAAAACATTCTTATAATTGTAGCTTTTGTTTTTCATTTGACTCTAAAAATAATTAAAGTTCTTCCATGTTCCTTTTTTGGTAGTTCACAGACTGTTTTCTATATGTTATCATGTAGTTTTGTAGGTTTTCTTGCTATTTACTTCTAATTTTATCATAGCACAGTCTTACAATAAATAGAAAATAATTTAATTTTTTTGTATTTGTTAGGGCTTACATTAAGATCAACAACGTAATCTATTTTACCCTGGAGCTTTGTGTGGAATGTTGTGTAATTTGTGTAATGTTTGTAAAGCCATTTGATCCATGGTGCCTTTAATTCTGCAATTTCTTTCCTGATTATTGGGTGTTGAAGATGAAAAGGTGAGCATAGAAACCTTACAATGATGAGTGAGTGCCCATTGCAGTCACCAAGTGTTAAGCACCAGAAAATCTCTCTCTCTCTCTCTCTCTCTCTCTCTCTCTCTCTCTCTCTCTCTCTGTGTGTGTGTGTGTGTGTGTTGGGGTGTTTCTGTCTGTGGACATGTCAGCCAAGGATCAGTTACTCAAAAGTGCTACAATCACTTAGGGTTATTTCCCTTTCTATAGTCCAAGTTTATTTCTGATCCCTAACAATTTTCCAACCTATTCACTAGGCAGGTTCTCACTGGCTCCAGTAGCTCCCCAATTTGTATACCTTGGGGTGTCTAATGTCTAAACCAGGTACTGTCTCCTGAGCATATTGGGTGTTGGGGAGGCAAGAAAACACTGAAATCTGTTAGTGGAGGACCCATCTTAATGTCTTCTAATTCTAAGTAATGAATACCCTGTGTGATGGGTGATGCTGTCAGGAGTGTCTCAGAAATTGTGTGCTTAATTAAACAATATTGAGTCAGTTCTCAGCTCTGCATTCTACATTCCTAAGAACAAATATTGACTTAATACATGAAAAATGTAATAGTATAAAACAGGATAGGAACAGCTGGTGCAACAGGTAGGAACTGTCCACCAGGTGGCAGATCATGGCTGTTGCTGCAAACTTGAGAGTAGCTACAATCATCAGCTTTCCCTGCAGATGACTGAAGAACCTGCAGTGCTGTGGAGGACTGAGAAGGGGAGCTGACCACAGAAGCATCTTGCCTGGCTGAAGTCCACTCTCCCCAAGGAGAGCAATGAAGACACTGACTGGACCTTTTGTCCTGTACTTGTTGTGGCTGCAGCTGAACTGTGAGTGAGAGCTTTGGGGAAACAAGGCATTTGGCAATGTTCATTGTCAGTCTGAGGAGCAGACTGGTTCCTCCAGGGTTCCTGAAATCACCATGGGAAGAAAAACAAAGTCTGGGGAATGGTGTCCTGATGGTCTTCCTGCTGTTTCCTCTTGCACAGGTGTGAGCAGAGGAGAGAAGCTGGAGCAGCCTCCTCTCTTGAGTATCCAGGAGGGAGGCAGTGCACTTATTACCTGCACCTACACAAACAGTGCCAATGATTACTTCTTCTGGTACAAACAAGAGCCTGGGGCAGGTCTCCAGTTCCTTTTAAATATTCTTTCAAATGTGGACAGAAAAGAAGAACAAAGATTCACTGTCCTACTGAATAAGGAGGACAAACGTCTCTCCCTGAACATCACAGCTGCTCATCTTGAGGACTCAGCCACATACATCTGTGCAGCAAGTGCACAGTGCTCCCCAGGCACCTGCTGCCTGCACACAAACCTGTGACCATGGCTAGAGACAAATATATTTTCCATTGTTCACACCATGAATTTCCTGTATTTTATGTTTCATAGATGGATAGTCTAAAACATCTTGAAGTTCTGTTTCTAAAACTTATAACTGAAAGACCCTACAGACCCCCCAAAAAAAAAAACCCTGCAGCTAGCCGGCTCTCATGAGAACATCCTGTTTGCTTGAGACCCTAGGACCTGAAGCTAGCCAGCTCTCATGAGAACATCCCGGTTGCGTAGGAAAATAGGATGCCTAAAACATCAGCAGTTTACAAAAGAAACAATTCCCCCTATATAGGACCCCAGCTTAACTACTGTAACATCATTTTACAAGGCTCTTGACAAACAAATGTAAGTGCAGAGTGAGGTCAGGGCTTCTGGCTGCAAAGCAGGATATTTATGAGGTCGGGGTCTTTGGCTGCAAGCAGGATACATCTGTGCTGGAAAAGGCAAAACCACTTATGCCCCCTGCCCCATTCTAATCAGACCAATAACCACGCATCCGCTTCTGTAATTTGCTTTTTGGCCGCCCTCTTTCCTATAAAAAGACCTTCCCCCAGTCTGCAGGCGCCTAAGTCCTCCTAAAGACTTTGTCGCCCGCAGGTACCTGTGTTCACCCAATAAACCTCTTGCTATTTGCATCCGTGTGGTCTCGGCCTGTTCCTTGGCTTCGGGGGAGTCTCCTCTCGAGGGAAGTCCTCGCTGAGGGTCTTTCAATAACAAACGCTAGAAAATCTGGAGTGATCTCATAATGAGAATAACTATTTATATGTCAAGACTTAGTTGACTGTCAGATGCCATTTAGATTGCCCCCACTCCAAAGACATCTTTGTGTCACTGGTAAAGAATACTCATGATGGAAAGGCTTTTACCTTTCAACAAAAGTACTTGATGTAATTATTAGAAGTCTATTATGGGATAGGACATTAAAAAAGTTTATAATACACAGCAAAATTTCCCCTAAATGTATTACTAAAATCAGAGAGTGAGAGAGTCCTGTACCCTGGCAGCTCTCCATGGAATGTTGAGAGAAGCATGTAAGATTCATGTGTCTGTGATGTCCTGCTATGGGCCAGGTCTATGGGTGGTGCAGGGTCATTTGCATAGCAAAGGGAAGACAAGTGCTCCTGCATCCCCTACAGGAAGCACTTGGGTCCTCCTGCCTCTGCCTTCAAAGTGATGAGATCAAAGGCAAATACCATCATGTCTCTTGCAAGTACCTGTTCTTGATGTCTAAGCTATCTCTTCAAGCTCGGAAGGGACACTAGTCCACTTAAGCATGTGGCTCTGGCAAGCCTTGCCTTTCTCCTGCATTCCCTTTGCCTTGCTAAAAGCCTTTAGATTACATTCCTAAAGCTAGCTAACAAGGTCTATTCACTTATTTGGCCACTTCCTCCTCCTGAGGTTGACTACCAAAGTCCAGCAATGAAAAACCCTCTCTGGCTCACCTAATTGACATGCTGATTAAAATTAAACACCTCATTTTAGCACGGGGTTCTCCTCTTTACCTTTATAAACCACCAGGTGCCTATGTGCCACATCTGTCTCTTCTCTTTTCAGAGGCAGTCCATTGTCCCTCTGGGACAAACACCTGTTTCCCTTCTCCCCCATCCCCTCTCTTCTTTATCACTCCTAGCCCCTTCTAACGAAGTTGCCCAATCTTCCTCGTCTTAAAAGTTACACCTGAATTGGCATAAAAACAGACAGGAGGACCAATGGAACCAAATCAAGGACCTGGATATTAATCCACACGCCTTTGAACACCTACCTGATTTTTGACAAAGAAGCAAAAAATATCAAATGGAAAAAAGAAAGCATATTTAACAAATGGAGCTAGCATAATTGGATATCAACATGTAGAAGAATGAAAATAGACCCATATATATCTATCACCATGCACAAAACTCAAGTCCAAATGGATCAAAGACTTCAACATAAAGCCAGCTACACTGAACCTTATAGAAGAGAAAGTGGGAAATACACTTGAATGCATTGGCACAGGAGACCACTTCCAAAATATAACCCTAACAGCACAGACACTGAGAGAAACAATTAATAAATGGGACCTCCTGAAATTGATAAGATTCTATAAAGCAAAGGACATTGTCAACAAGACAAAACAACAGCCTACACAATGGGAAAAGATCTTCACTAACCCCACATCAAACATAGGTCTGATCTCCAAAATATACAAGGGACTCAAGAAATTGGTCATCAAAAGAACAAATAAACCAATAAAAATGGAGTACAGACCTAAACAGAGAACTCTCAACAGAAGAAACTAAAATGGCTGAAAGACACTTAAGGAAATGTTTAACATCCTTAGTCATCAGAGAAATGCAAATCAAAACCACTCTGAGATTCCATCTTACACCTGTAAGAATGGCCAAGATCAAAAACATTGATGACAACTTTTTCTGGAAAGGTTGTAGGGAAAGGGGAACACTCCTGCATTGCTAGTGGGAATGCAGGCTGGTACAGCCCCTCTTTGAATATCAGTGTGGCTATTTCTCAGAAAATTAGGAAACAACCTTCCTCAAGTCTCAGTAATATCACTTTTGGCTATATAGTCAAAGGATGCTCAATCGTGCCACAAAGACACTTGCTCAACTATGTTTATAATAGCATTGTTTGTCATAGCCAGAAACTGGAAGCAACATAAACGCCCTTTGACTGAAGAACGGTTAAGGAAAATTCAGTATATTTACACAATGGAATACTACACAGCAGAAAAAAGTAAAAACCTCTTGAATTTGGCAGGCAAATGGATGGAGCTAGAAAACATCATTTTGAGTGGGGTAACCCAGATACAGAAAGACATTTATCACACGTACTCACTCATAAGTGGTTTTTTAAACATAAAGCAAAGAAAACCAGCCCACAAATCACAATCCCAGAGAATCTAGACAACAATGAGGACTCTAAGAGAAACATATATGGATCTGATCTACAAGGGAAGTAAAAAAAAAAAAAAGACAAGATCTCCTGAGTAAAATGGGAGCATGGACCTTAGCAGGGAAGGAGAGAGACAGGGAGCGGAGCAGAGAAGAATGTAGAGCTCAGTAAAAATCAATAAAAAAAAAAAAGCATGTAGGACAACTCAGAAAGGTATAGTGAACAGATGTAATCTATTGCATAACAAAAATGCTACAAATATCAGTAGCTGTCATCAATAAGAAATGTACTTATTCTTTTAAATTCCAAATGGTGACAAATTTTAACAGGTTTATTTATAATCGTTATAAAGTTAAACTGTTGAAATGTATTCATTGAAATATTTTGCTCATGTTAATGTTTTATACCTTGTATTTATATTAAAATTCACACACAAATGAAAAAAAATTAAACCAACAAGGTCATTTGCTGTGTTTTCTGCCTGAGTCAGAAAGTAGCCATTTTAGCTTTTCTTCCCTGCTTAGTAAAGGATTTCTGTGAAAGCAGGTGTTTGGGTGTAAATTATGCCTAATTTGGGATATGGGAAGAAGCAACTCTTTGCAAAAAGAATTATAAATACCAAATATATCAAAGATTGCATCAGCCTCCAGCATCTACTTTAATGCAGAAATTGTCCAAGGGGCCTGAGAGATGCATGGAGGCTGGAAGGGGAAGCATGTCAGAGGAGAAGTCTGAAGAGCCTTTGGCAACAATTGACAAAAAGTCAGGTCTCATGGGAAGATGGTTTTAAAAAGTGGACTCATGAATTCTGAAGGAAAGATAGCAGAGGATCACCACAAATGTGACAGAAGATTGCAAAACTAGAAATATGGTGGCGAAGGTTATGACAGAGTATGGTCACAGTAGATAAAGACCATGTCATTTCTGAATAAGGTTCATCCTTGGCTCATAGACCTGCCTGCAGCACATATTGGACCTGGAAGGCAAGTGAAATCATATAGACATGAGTGGGATTGGGGTGCATAATGTGAAATTCCAAAATAATCAATAGAAATATTAGGTTGGGGGAAAGTGTTACTAAAATTAGCACTATGCAGATCAGTTTCGACTTCCATTTCAGAACTGGCAATCAAAACAGATTTCTTTCAATTTTATGATGTGTTTTACATAGCATTCTCTTATTCCTGTGGTAATCACCTTTCCTCTGAGCTGAAAGACAGCACTTGAAGTGTCATGTTGTAGGAGCTAAATATGAGCAGATCACCCAAAGGAAGTTCTTTACTTCCAACCATTATCATCTGCCAGAGTAGGACTCAGACATCGATAACTTTAATAGAGGGCTGAGTCTCAGTAATTTACCCTGAAGCAATATCTGATTGCAGGAAGAACCACAAGCAGAAATTACCTGAGCACCACCCAAAAAAAGATCATCCAAAGGAAATGCCTAACATTCCAACTGCTGTAGATAGAAACACCTGCCAGCACACACTCACCAGGACACTCCTAGACAAATGTCAGCCAATCAGTGGTCCTGAACCTCAGAAACTCCTCACTCCCACTTTTACTACTATAAAAACACTACTCTAACTGAGCTTGGGGCTCTCCATTTATTCCAATACGGTGGACACGCGGAGAGACTGAATTTGCAAACTTGCATAAAATAAATGCTCTTTGCTTTTACATATGGGACTCAGTCTCCTTGCTGGCTTTTTGGGAGACTTTGTGGATTTGGGCATAATAATGCTTCCTTGTGCACAGATAAATTGTTTCTTGATGTTTTTAAGTTTCTCTAGAATAAAAGTCTGACTTCCTCCCCCACCGTTTATATAGAGCTCTCTTATTAATTGGGGTGTTATAGTGTGATGTTTTTACTCTTTTGACTCTTTTGTGGGTCCTGCCACCTAGCTCCCAAATAAATCACATGGAGGCTTATTCTTACTTGGAAATGCCCTGTCTTAATTTGTCTTGTTTCTCACCAGCTTTTCTTAACTTATATTATCCTATCTACATTTGGCCTCTGGGCTTTTTGTTTTATTACTTCTGTATATCTTACTTATTCTTACTCATGGATGGCTGTGTTAACTAGATGGCTGACCCCTG